CAAATTAATTCTCTGCCAGCAGGAGGCGCTGTTGGAGCGGGAAATATAGTGGTTTCCCTGGTAACGGCTATAATCAAATCAGCTCTGCGCTCACAAACGCTACTTTATCAGGCATTACAGGAAAGAAGAAATGAAAATAACATCGAAGCTTTTCACAGATTAGTACATTCAGCATAAGGGACAGCTCTGAGTTTCTGGGTTTCATCTATCCTTCTAACGGTTCAGTGAAATAAGGCAGAGGAACTTGGGTGTTATATTCTACATTTCTCACAACTTTGCCAACAAGACTCACATGGCAGCAATTCGGCCAATGCCGATTAATTAAAAAAAAAGACAAAAATCGGCCAGCCGATCAATCGGTCGACCTCTAGTACAGTACAGATTAGTACATTCAGCATAAGGGACAGCTCTGAGTTTCTGGGTTTCATCTATCCTTCTAACGGTTCAGTGAAATAAGGCAGAGGAACTTGGGTGTTATATTCTACATTTCTCACAACTTTGCCAACAAGACTCACATAGCAATTATGCTTGCATTTATATGTATATGACTGTAAATGCTACTGCGTTTGTCATCAAACAAAGCTGCTATTTACACCGAGTGTAAATAGTGGTAGATACAATTTGCACAAGTTAACATGTTTATAGAAGTAACGTGCTATTTGTATTAAAGGCAGAGCAAATTTAGTGAAAACTTGCCAACAAGGGTGGCTATTTGGGTGGACACTAATTTATGTTTGTTTTTTATTTATTGGTTAATTGTCTTTTTGCTTTTTATTAGATAGGACAGTGGAGAACCAGTGGGGAGAGCAATATCAAGAGCAATGCACTGCCCGTTTTGCCTTTGCTTCAACATTTTTTTTGTTTTTTTCAGCTGAAGGATGAGTCAAGGATATTTTGTTGTAATAGACTGCATGCCAGAGATGCTTTGCATAGAACTTAACATGTATTGAATGCTGAACCATTAAAAAAAAAAAAAAAAACTCATAACCTTTCATGGTTTGGTTTTCATTGGCGAGATGCTATTAGTGTTCTCTTATTATTTAAAAATGTAATTTCTACTCTAGTGGCACAAAATGGAGTTGCCTTAATTTTGAATATTTTAAAATGGGCTTCCTAAATGATTCCCCTGTCTGCTGTTGGTCAGTTTAAACTGGTATTTTCATTCCAATTTTAGGTCATTTTTTGTGCCATTCTGGTTGGGATGCTCAATAATGTTTTATGGTAAGTATTGTTGTGTTGTGGCATTCTTCTTTTTTAATTTAAATTTTTTATGATATGACAGTAGAGAGCAGACGGGAAGCAAAGTGGGAGAAAGAGGGAGAGGGGGACAGGATCGGGAAAGGTCCTCAAGCCAGGATTCGAACTCGGGATGCCCGTAACACAATGCCGTTACATGTCAGCACACTTGCCCACTAGGCTGTCGGCGCTGACATTGTGGCATTCCTCTAATGGAAATGAAATCAACCTACAAATGCTGGTCAGATTTATACTCTGAGCTCATCTTGAACATATAGCATGTTTAAATCCATTCTTTTAGTCCAACATCAGCTTGGAAAATGTGACAGAATCATCAGATTCTGTGGGCCTATTTCGGTTAAGTACAATCTTAGTTAAAAGATGATTTGAAGAAATCCTTAAAATACATCTTGCTTAAAATCCTCAGGCCATTTTCATCTGTAGTATAGTGAGAGGATGTCGGAAATGCTAAATGGAACATTTCCGTTGCCTTGGATGAGGTTTGTTCCTCGCACATCCTGCACGTGCTTCACCAAATGGCTATGTCCTGTGCCAGCAGGCCTGGAGATGAACTGACAGAAGCTGATCTGGTCCGTTCACATTAGAGCCGGATATTTGCTCCGGCTCTACTAATCTAAGAGGACAGTCTGTAGGATGTGCTATAGGAAATTATTTAAATGAGCATAATGAACACTGCTTATTTTAGCTTACAAATATTCATGTGATTTTTGCATATCATTCTGTTGCATGCCTATGGCATCAAATAGAGCTGACCGACTGGCCAGTGCCAGCAGTTTTTGAGGCCTGATGGTTTGGACGTTCTATTCATTGGCCTATCTATTCTGTTAACCCATATGCACCGTGTTACATGCCAGCGCTACATGCCTGATTTCATTGGTTCTTGCTCTCAGCATTCTGGGAGCTGGTACAAAGCTATTTGAAAAGGTAACTGGTATTTGTAGATTTACATAAACTCACACACCTGTTCCACTATAGAAAACCCATAGTGAAGATGGTTCAAATGTGCAATCTGTTCACATGTTTGACATTTAATTTTATACGCTCCCAGTCAAAGGTTTGGACACACTTGCTCATATTATTACTTTAAAAAAAATTTTTTTTTCATATATTTTAGAATAATAGTAAAGCCAAACGACACAAATGGAAGAATGGAGGTTATATTGATTGATCAAAAAGTTATCTCAGTGAGTATCTGAGAGAGTAGTTTTAAGTAGTATATGTGTGCGTGAACACTACCTTTCAGAAGCTTGGTGTCTGTTTTTTTTAATGTTTTTGAAGTCTCTTATGTTCACCAAGGCTGCTTTTGTTTGATCAAAAATACAGTAAAATATTATATCTAATATTATATGTACAGTAAATAGAAATACTATTACCAGTTAAAACATTTTTCCCCAATATATTTTATGATTATATTTTTAATTTATATATTTTTTTATTTTATTTATTCCTGATATGGTCAAGCTGAATTGTCAGCTGCCGTTACTTCAGTCTTCAATGTCACAAGATCCTTCAGAAAATGATCACAGATGAAAACCGTTGTGCTGCTTAATATTATTGTAGAAACTGTGATGCTTTTTTTCAGAATTATTTGATTAAAGTAGTGGTTGACTGCGTAAAAATCTTTTCATATATGAATCGTGATTCTGTCTTCTAACGATTCTAATGGATTCACAAGTTTCAAAATCAATGTTCTAAAGCAGCGGTTCTCAATACTGTTCCTCGCGTTTCCCTGCTCTACATATGCTCTGCATCTCTCTCTCTCTCTCTCTCTCTCTCTCTCTCTCTCTCTCTCGCTCTCGCTCTCGCTCTCTCTTTTATACACTTATTTTCACATAGCTATGTTCCTGTGGCTCAGTGGTAGAGCATTGCATTAGCAGCGCAAAATGTCGTGGGTTCAGTTCCCAGGGAACAAACATACTGGTAAAAAATGTATAACCTGAATGCACTGTAAGTCGCTTTGGATAAGCGTCTGCTAAATGCATAAATTATTATTATTATTAAATTAGCTATGAGAAGCGTTATACATGGACGCGCTTGCGGTTGCTGTACTGTATTAAACCTTTAAATAAAACCGTATATTAAAAGCTAACAGAAGCAGTAGCATTTACAAATAACAGCGTATCTAAATGCCAGTAAACCACTCCTTTAATAAAAAGTTCAAAGTACAGCATTTAGAAGGATCAGAATCAGAATGAGCTTTATTCGCCAAGTGTGCACAAACACACAGGGAATTTGTTGTGGTTTCCAGGAACTCTGGGTACATGCATGCATGCAAACACAGCAAATGCATGCATGCAAAAACAGAACATTTAAATAAGTAAAAATTAATAAAAAATAATAATAAATAAAAAAGAACAATAAAGTAACTTGGATTAGATCTAACAGTTGCATTTACAGATATGTACATTATGTACTGTATATAGTATACACACTCTGAAAAATGCTGGGTTAAAAAAAAAACATTTCTGGGTTATTTGGCAACCCAGCATTGGGTAAATATAGTCAGAACACATGTTATTTTAACCCAGCTTGTTGGGTTTTATACATTAACCCATTTGCTGGGTTGTTTTTTTGACATAGTGCTGGGTCAGTTAGGTTTTTCATTTTAAATAATGAAAATGCATCCTAAAATCTGTTTTACATACACACACACACACACACACACATATATGTATGTATATGAAGTCAGTCTTTTACAGTCGTAAAATCTTCAGAAATGTAAAGGTTTTAGGACGTGACAGGAGCAGCCAATGGGAGTCTGTGGGAAGAAAACTGCTCTCAGTAGGCTGTTCCAGTTCATTAAATGACTTGTATTCATGTTTGAAAAGTTACATGAAAAGTTACATCAAAAACAGCTTTACCTCGTGTACAGCCTCGTTACGTTTCAACCCATAGCATAGGTAACCACAGCTGCAACAATGGCGCACTAGATCAGTAGCGCTTCATATTGCAGTCAGTGGAGCGCACGGAAACTTTGATACATGTAACAGTGAAGTCGAGTCATGTTTCAGCGCTGCTCGTGCATTCATTTTATATTGACCGTAAAAATCACCCATTACAGAAAAACTACCCAGCACCTGGGTAAAAAATATTAAAAATGACCCAACAAGCTGAACCCTGCATTTGGGTTTAAAAAAATACTGAACCCAGCATTTGGGGAAAAAAAAAAACGGGGTTTTTTTTTTTATTTATTTTTTATAGTGTGCAGCTGTATGAATCAAAATATGTATTTACATATTGCCTAATGCCACAAGAGCACTGAATTATAACAAGTCCGTAAATCGGTGTGTCAGTTATTTAAGGTGGAAATGGCCTGGGGGAAAACTGTTTTTATGCCTAGATGTTCTAGTGCACAGAAATCTGTAGCACATTTGTAAAGTAATTACTTAAAATGTTTAGAGAAGTTTTTTTTTCACCAGCAAAATGCACCACAGTGTGACGTGTGAGTATGTTCGTCCAATAGGCCATGTTTATGATGATGATTTTTTTTTTTTTTTAAACAAGTGGTCACAGTGTGGTGTCACTACTGCTTCTCATTTGATATCATCCAGTCCAGTTCCATCTTTCAAGAGTTCAATGTTTATCATTATAGAGTGATTATAGAGCAGATGTGGGTCAGTAGAGTGTTGTAGGACGTTTGATGAACCTGTATTGTTCTGATCAATACCTAGATTCATCATGCAATATTATCTGAAAGGAAAGCTTTTCTGTAAATTAATCTTTGCTTTATCTTTGCCATACAGCTACTGAGGAAGAAGAACAAAAGTCTTTCTACTTGGCTGACAAAGTGTCTCTGTACAAAGGTGACATCACCACCCTGGAGGTGGATGCCATAGTGAATGCTGGTGAGTTTGCAGTTTCTGATCAATTGCAGTTTTAAAGCTTCATTACCTTAGCAATGCAATTAGTGCACAAGTGTGACACTGTGATTTTCATTTTTTTTATGCTATGTGTTAATTTTTACCTTTTCTCACGCCTGATGTTTTGCATAGTCTAGGATCCACTTTGCATTCGTTGTGCTTGCCTGACCTCTGGTGTTTATAAGTGGAACAGGCATGACTAAGTTTTTTTTCCTTGTTTGTACTGATGCATTTTACAGGACAGATGAGATTTCTTCTTATGTATTTTTAAGTCTGTGCAGTGTGTTTTCTCTCCGCAGTGCATTTTGCTGTTTATTTTTATGTTTTGATGTACTTTCACAGGAAAGATGCTTTTCCTTTTCAGGATGAAACAAGATGCCAGAGAACAAACTTGTAAAACTGATTTTCCCCCCTTTTGTTTACATAGTGAGATGGTATTATCTGTCTCTCTGGCTTGTTAATTGTCTTGTTTTCATGTTACAGTGATATAAAATCAATTGATTTGTTCCTATTATTACCTCTTTAGTGTGGGGGCTGTTTTAAATCTGTTCTGAGAGGAAAGGAGTGGTTATATAGTAGATGTTCTGCAGAAATAGACATGTGTTAACTGGGTTCCGTTGTGGTGAGAGAGCAGACAGATAACACTGTCATGGTTTACCTCAAGTCATGGAAACCTGGCAATAAAGATAGAAAATTGTGGTAACCCGATGTAAGTGCTTACTTAAGCATTTAGTATGTATTGTGTGGGAGATTGTCATTGATTAGACATGTTCTTGATTCAAGATGTTTATCTCAGTGCCATTCATTGAGAGGAATAGTTTAACATTCCTGCCACAAAGAGTGATTGCGTTTCATGTCCAAAACTGCTGTCTGTTTGACAAGAGCATCCGTGAAATGTGATTTTTGCTGGACCGTTGAATCTCTAACAACAAATGGAAACTCTTAACAGCTGTGTTGTGCTCTGCTTACAACATGTACACAAATGTGTTTGTGAATGATTGAGGTTTTTTGTTTATCTCAATGTAGTTCAGGCATTATGCAGTCTAATTGAAGTAACGATGCCTATGAGCTTTGGGATATTTAGGCGAATCTAAACCTTCTGTTGAGTTTACTGCTGTTCTGTGAGCCGTGGACCTTGCAAACTAGTAGATTCATTATCACTGGAGCTTGTCTGAGTTTCACATTTCCGTTATGTGTATTTACTCTCACATACTAGGTTATTTCTACAGTTTCCTTAGTGGGACGTAGGACTGCAGGCTGATATAGCAAAATATGGCATGATTTTCAGTAAACAATAAATGTAATTTTAATGTATCATTCTTTAATGTATGTAGAAATATATTCAATTTCATACACACACTTATACACATATACATACATACATACATACATACATTATGTGTATACATATACATACTAGGGATGCTCCGATCATGATTTTTGCAGCCGATACCGAGTACCGATTTCTTGTCATGGTGATCGGCCGATACCGATGGCGATTCTGATGCTTCAAGCTTTATATAGACGGTTTCAATGGGCGCATGCGCCTGGCCCGAAGTTAACTTCAGGTCTGTGTTTGTTTATCAGTCTGGCTGTGGCACTGGCTACAAACGCAGTTAAAATTAAGGTGATGAGTAGACTGAAGTTGAGCTCAGGTGGTTGTGCTGTGGGATGTGTTTCCCATACATTTATTTATTTGTGGCGCTCACCACAATATCAAAACTGACGGATTTTCCAAAAGGCTTGGTTGAATAAACATGAGCACGTACTGCACATTTAAAAATCAAAACGAGGCGCGGGTGTTTTTAAATCACTGTATTTCTGAAGGAAGACTATCTTTAGAAAATGATCGATGTCATTTTCATTTCATCTTGCATGTTTTATGCCTGATAAAGCAGCGTTTGTGAGCTCAGCGCTGCTTTGTGTACAGCTGTTACTGGGGAAACCTCTGTTTTTGTTCTGTCCTCCACGCTGTGACAACTCACAAAAGACTATTTTTAACCAAGCAGCGCGGAGAGGTGCTTCAGAAACGTGCCGCGGCTGGCTGATAGACACAGGCACTGACTAGAGCGACCACGATCAGCTCTGGTGGCCGTGGAGCCGTAACGCGCCGCAGCTCTAATGTCACTGAATCTGCTGTGTAGATGAATCATGCAAATCTCGAAACGTCATGGCATTTCCACACTGGCGATGACATGACTGCGGCACCAAATCATTTATGTCCCCACGCATCATGTATGTCGTCACGCGTTGACGTCATCAAATTGCGATCGGTTCCTGAGATCGGCCAAGTTGGTGAGTACCGATTGAGTCATAAAATATGATTATCGGCCGAGAGCATCCCTAATACATACATATAAAAACCGACCTGTTGGAACAGTATTTTTAATGTTACGCACTTTACTACTAATGTCAAGAGGACTGTGCATCATTTCAGGAGGCTATAAGGCACCTCAAGAATTCATATTAACAGATGAAAGAGACATTTTCCTCCTTTGCATTGTAAAGTTTTTGTTTACAAGACAACTTCTCCTCTGAAACTTTCTGCAGGGTTGCTGTAAGGTCAGTCAGCATTGAAAACCGGAAATAAGAGAACAGGCCGAATGGTACTCTAGTCTAATCTCGGTGTCTGATGCAATCATACCGATGTGAAACTGCAACAGTAAGCAAAATGAATCAAAATGAATCACATGTTCAATAGCACTGTGGTTCAGCTTCTCTCAGTGCTTATTTCAACAAGTTTGTTGGCGCATCAGTGGTTGCATAAAAATAATTTCAAACCATTTTGTAGGGTTTGTGGCATTGAATTAGGAAAGTAATTGGTTTAAAGGCTTCAGAGTATGAGGGAGACGACTTATCATGCAGACGGGTGGCTGTTCTTCCATCAGAGGCCAGTGGCTCAGGCCAGGAAAGTAATCGCATTATTGCAATAGCGCTTTGGACTGATTCTTAAAGCCCCATTTGCTCCAGTGTCTTTAAGTTTAGATTCCTGGAATGATGTTTCCATCTCTAAGCTATAATATGATGATAAGAACAATCGGAAAGCATCTCTGTGATTGCGGGGAACTGTCTTGTTGTTTCCAGTAGTCCTGCTGAAAATGTAAACAGCATTGTGCTCTTAAGAAGAAGAAAACAGTTGCTGATGTAAAATGTGCTGTGATTTTGTAATCATAAAAGTCTTTTTATTCTGCTCCGTGGATTTCGATTCAATTTAAGTCCTGCTCTAGACTTTTTATTTCCTTGTTGAATATCTATTTTCACTTAGAAATATGTCAGGTTACATAGTAAAATGGTTTGTAAACACTTTCACTTTAATCCATTCAACTAACTATTGCATTGGACCGGAAAAGTGGGATCTGGCATGAATTGAGCTGCTTGTGTGGCAGGCATTTTGCCTGTCTTCGTTTTGTCCCCACTGTAAATCTCACTATCCCATGTCCTTCCCTTCTAAACAGTCGTTGTTTGTGTCCAAAATCACATACTCTATGTAAAGGTACTTGTTTTGAGTAAGAAATTACGACCATTTGCGACCATTAAAACATTGATTCTACATAGTATGAATGTGTGTAATATTAATGTAATCTGGATGTACTACATTGGCCATGTTGTTATTGTCATGTGACCTACAAGCATCAGTTGTGTCACGTGCAACGCCTTTCCTGTGGCCTCATGGGATGGTGAAGGATACATACTTCAGAATCTTGCTGGAAGTAGCAGGTCATTTGGATATGCATACTGTGTTATGGGATACTGTGCATACTGTGAATTTGGACATGCTACTCTTCTCACATACTACTTTCACCTACGTTATAGTAGGGAAGTATGCAGTTTGAATGCAGCCATTCTTTAGAAGAAACAGGTGGATGAAGGAATGATTCTTCCAGTCCCTTTGAGATTTCATAAATCTATTGGGCGGTTGTACTGATTCGCAATTAGCTGGGCCACTCTGAAATGTGCTCAAATAGAGTTAAAAAATGTATTTGTCACAGTTCATGTCAGATTTGATTTAAAATATTATTTATATGTGAGTTTGTCAGTCAGTGTTTGTTTTAGTATTTCTACTTTCAATTAGATAGATTGTACTGTAAATATTAGGCCAACCGATCAGCATCTGGTTCTGGAGAACTCCTTGAGATGGTTTTGTTGCCTTCACATCCATTTGAGTTATTGAAAACAAAAAAATTAGTTTTAATCCAGCAATATTAGTTAATAAAGTGTGCTGGTTTTACACTCAAGCCCTGTAGAGTTTGCATCGGAAATGTCAGGCAGCATGAAATTAAATGGCAACAGTAATTAATTCTGGGCGGCTTCATGCTGCATGCTGAGAGAGGTGAGGCTGTAAGCATGTTAAATGAGTTTTTAAATCACTCTCTGGATGGCCAATTATTTTTTCATAGAAATAAATTTCTTGTCAGAGCTGCTAATTGAAATAGCAACTGACATCAGGGTCGTGATAGGTGCAGAAATTTTAATTGCTCTCCCTTTCTTGTTTTCACACAAGGGGTCGGTTCGCGAAGCAAGCAAAACAAACACGGAATAAAAAAATGGTGAAGCCTGACGGGGCGGTCAGATGGTGAAGCTGTTAAATATAGCGGTGAAACTTATGCCAAAAATATCTGTCTGGCAAAAAATGAGAGCAAGCAGGGAACATAAAACTTAAAATAAAAATAAATATGTAAAAAAAAAAACTAAAAAAAAAACTTGAGTTGTGTGAGGCATACGGTTGAGTGCTTCAACATTTGAAGATGTCGTGCAGGCTTTGTGCTCAGGAGGGGAGAGTGTCGTTTTGTAATTATGGGAGCTCTTCAAAAAGGAACGGAAAGCTGTGTCTTTTGCCCTATAGCGTGGTGAGACGCAGCCACAGATGAATGCAGTAATGGAGTCTAATGCACTCTGCACATGAAATGTTCTGTGAGTCACAAAGCTTAATGGAGAGTACTTGCATGTTTAACTGAAGACGGGCCTCAGCTCTTTTGTAATTGACA